ATTGGACTTGGAGTTCTCGAGTTAGGGATTTATTTTCTGCAGATTATTCAAGGAAAATTTCGTAATGGCCAATTTATTCGAATTGCTTATTATTCATAGATCTCATAGATTTAGATCTCATATATTATAGATCTCATATATTTACAGACAGTTCAAAAATTCCGTGCGTAAAAGCATCAAGAAAAAAAGCTGCGTTATTTTTCCAGAGGGTTTTTATTTCAATTTGTTCAAGGGCCTAAATTCCAAAACTTTTTGAGTTGAAAATTTTAAAATTCCGCGATAAGGATTCTGGCGAAGGATTCATAGGAAAATTTATCTGCGTTTTGAACTTTTGATGTAGAGGCTAAATTTATCAATGTCTGACGTTACTGTAGCTAGCCTTTAAACTATTTGAATATAAACCAAATGTAAGATCAGCGCAGTAAGAAATTAGGAATGTCTTTTCTTCTTTTTCGTAAAAGGTATTTATCAATTTCACCTAGAAACCTTTGTTTAAATTTCGCATCTGTGATTTTATACATTACGATCGAGAAATTCGGGATGAATGTTATCGAAACGGCTTTTTTCGCGATTTATTCATTCGAACGCCGAATAATATCTGTAATTAAAAATATATATCTAGATGCATTCGGGGTAATTAGACGAAAATGCATGAAATTAAATAGGCTCTGGTCGCTTTCGTGTTCATCCCATTTATTTCTCACAAAAATCCGTCCTCTGATTAGTTTTTTCAAAATGCGGCACATTTCATGAATAAATGATTCAAAAATAATATTCCAAGCTTCAAGAAGATCCAGAGTTCACGGACGAGAAGCATAAGGTCTTCATTCATCCCTTCTATATTGCTAATACTGTACTCTACAGAAACAGGAGGACAAAAAGAAAAATAATCAAATGTTTTCACACACAAAAAAAGTCGGCAGAACGACGATTCCGAGGACCAGCTTATTTGGAAAGCGGACACAATTAGGGAAAACACGTTTGATGGGGCCTGTTCTCCCCCCATAAAAATATACATATGAAAAAAAAACTTCAATAATAATATTACATAAAAAAAACAGCAAGGAAATGGACAACCCACAGGGGCTTAGGTGTCAGTGAGGCTGAGGGATGAGTGATCATCATCCACACACAAGCAGAGGGAGAATCCCAGGGCTGACAAATGGTGAGAAACGGATCAGGTTTGGGGCAGCCGCATCACCTGCCTCTTTAATTACACTCGAACTGCTTCATCTTTCTCTCTCTATACACCCCCTCCAGCACGTTTTCATTTTCCCCAACTATAACTCTTTTTTTTCCCCTGCTTCATTCTCTATTTTATGTGTATATATACTTCCTCATTTTCAGGATGGTTCTGTTTAAACAGCGCTTCGCTGTTTTCTGCCTGTCATCCCTGCTCACACAACCGATTTTCCGCGATAATGCATGCGCGGAGAGAGACGAGAGGCGCTTATTGCATTATTCGAAGGCAAGGATGATTACGAGCGTTTCGACTATTTTTTATTTATTTTGATTCTTTTTTTTTGGGTGCCATCAGGGCAGAAATTGCGTCTGTTTTGGGAATCAACCACGCATGTAACGAACACACCCAGGAAAAGACCGTTGAGCTATTTTCTGACGCGCAGGAAATCCCAGGTAGTCAAACTGGATCTGTTCCATGTCAGTCGGCACGCGAAGGTATAGAATGAAGTTAATCATCTGAATTGCATTCGGAATTGAGTCACTGAATGCGATTTCTTTCTGCATTATTTTAACTAGAATAACAAATTACAGTTGGGCACCGAGATACAGGAACGTCCCCCAGCATGAAGTTGAATGAGATGAATCTTCTCAACTTCAAGAGGCAGAAAAGAACATTGAAGAAAAAACCCACGCATAATCTGATTCTTTTTTTGGCAAGACAAGGAGCCCAAAAAGCAAAGAAAAAGCACGCATCTTTCTATACTGCATGGGCACACAAGTTGGTGGAGAAGAACCCCAAAACCAAGAGCACAAAATTAGTGAATTCTGGATTATCAATTGCTGTGCTGCATAGTACATTCATACCATGTACAATATTTTGAGTTTTTGCGGATGTAATACTGTTGCTCAGTCTGCTCAAGAAATACCATATTTACTTAAGTACCACGTGCCCTTGAGTAAGGCGTACAGAGGGGTTTTTCAGTTGGAAATTTGGCTAAAATCGTATCCCCGAGTAAGACGCGCACCCAAATTTTTACGGAATCTAAAACCACAAAATTTCAAAAATAAAAACAAGAAAGTTGACTTTAGACATGAGTTGAACATAAATCTGATCAATTTTCAACTTTTTCAGTCAAAAAGTTTTCTTGTTACATTTTTTCCAAATTTCTTGATTATGATTAAGTATAATGCACACATAACTTCCTGAAATTTCTTGAAAAATTTGTACCCTCTAATGACGCGCACCCCTTTTTTTCCTCTGAAATTAGAGAAAAAAGGTGTGGGTGGTACTCAAGTAAATACGGTATCAAAATTTTGAAAAATGGAATTTTCCATTTGTCCAGAAATGCAGGTGAACTGAAAATATCTTGAAACAGTATATGATCCAAATACCAGGGCAGCTTTTTGCACTTCAAATGTGTCCCTGAGTTGAATCATCTGCATATGTTTGGGTGTTCACATGCTGGGGCCCTTCTGTATGTAGAATATTCATGGTGTATGTGCTGTTTCCATCATTCACAGCAATGCTATTCTTGCATTAGAAGCAAAGAATTGGTTTTCTACAGAGTCTGGGTGGACTGCAGGTGAGAATGAACCAATTTTAAACCTCTTCAGCATCTCTTGACTGGCTTGTGCTTCAGTGTTCAAAATGTCTATAATTGAAAGGAATTATTTTCATTCCAAATCATGTCAAATTGTGTGAGTGATGTGTATTCATATAATGTATGAGCTGGTTTTGAGAATTAAAAAGGTATAAATTAATCTGATGTTGAGTAAATTGGATTGTATTTAAAAAACATGTTGTAGAAAACTTTCATGACATGAGAAAATATATTGAACTTTTGCTCAAAAACAGAGCATAACAATAAGAACAAAAGTCAGAACAGTTCAACCCAAATGAGTACAGTATTTGAATAATTTTTTCTGGGGTCAAATGTCAACAAAATTTGAATTAAATGTCGACTGCTCAAAATTATAAAATGAGCTGATACGTGCTTGAAAATATACAACCCTTCAAAACATTATCAAAGAAAAAGGCTGACAATTAAAAAAAATATTACATGACATCAGGAGCATTCATGGCCTATCAAAAGGTGCTTTAAACTCCATTTTATACTGTTCGTCTATGAATCTCCATATTTTTAAAACCCCCTACAGAAAAATGGCTACGATAATACGCCTAGATTATCTACCAAAAAATAACCGCGCTGCTGTTTTCAAGGTTTCTTTCCGAACTCCTGTGCCCATGCAGAAGATGTATTGTTGTGTCAACACCGAGTCTAATTACTTGCAAGATAAGCTTTCGGACAAAAGCCAAGTGATGAATTATGCACAAGTGAGAAACCGATCGTAAAAATAAAAATAAAAATACTAAAGAGAGGGGAAACAAGAGAGGATGCAAGGGAATATAAACGCTCGTGGGGGCGGAAGACTGATTTCCGTCAACAGCGATGAGGCACCAGATTGCGCCTGGTTGCTTATCATTGTTTGGCAATTAGGGAAAACAACAGGAAGCGCGACGAAAATACGCGGAAAGCAGGTGAGGATAATTGCAGCTCACAGACCTGCTTACCCCCGCGTCACTGGGGTGGAAGAAAAGTGTGGGTGAGAGGGGGATAAGGTCTCGGGGAAATTGTCATAATAATGGCACCTGAAACACACAAAAAAGTTTACCGAATATATGCGAAAGAAGGAAATCCCCGAACCTGTGGGGGTGGGGGGGTTGCAAACCGGGAAATGGCGAGTTTTGTCAGTCGAGGATAAGAGGCGAAAAATAGAACCCCATGCTGATGGGGGGCGGAAAACGGACGCCGCCGGAGTGCCGATTATATTTGCCGTCATCTCGTCACGCCAGCATGGGCTATGTATTGGAAATGCAAACCCACCAGCACCAACAGAACCCCAACGATTTTTT